CCCCCCCAAAAAACCTTTAAAAAACTACTGTCATTACTAACGAATATGTCAGTAATCAGCCATAGCTCCTTGGCTGCTTTAAAGAAAGGCATTCAATACAACGGTCATCATTGCAATGATAGACAGCAGCAAGACTAGAGATAGAAATTGACGAGAAAATGTCAGAGCCAAGATATTGGGAAAAAGCAAGCTCGAAATATTCACTCAACATTTTCGGCATTTTGAATCATGTAAGCCATAATTTGAAAACAATCGGTGAGCGGCAAACTAGGATCTAAGACCTTCAAAGGATAATTATAAGCAAAGCTTTACAACAAGAACCTTATGTGCGTAGATATAACAGCAGAGGTTTGGCAGATGCCGAGAGATGCAATTAGACATTGTATGTTATCAAACATTACGGAAGAAAACATGAATCTCATAACCACCGCGTGCCGTTTCACGCATGTAAACCCACAACCACAATCATGTGATCTTCGCGTCAGTCACAGGCCCCTCTTGATGTTGAATATTTCCAGTCTATTTAGTACGATAACCTAAAGAAAGGCCGTTGAAGTCCAATTGTTCCTCAAAGCCCACTGACAATATCATCCATACCTGTGGAGAAGGTTCCGAGTCCTCGATAATACACAAATCATCCAACTCGCCTCCAGTTTCGAAGTCCGCCATCGTTCATAACAGCAGTGGAGCCAAAAGCTGTATTTCGAATATGTATATTAATATCTAGAAGACGCAATCCCTTCCGACACAGCGTCAAACATGCGAATGCGCTCCTCTTCGCTTCATGTGTTGATACATATTATACGAACTTCGTCCTAATAACACATTCCTCGGAATCATTCACACAAGCGTTGCACCAGACGAGACTTTTGGAAATTGTATGATCGGAAAAAAGAAAAAAAAAAGAAAAATATGTTTGACAACGTGCCTCACCTGAAGACGAGACTTATTAATTCACTTTCTCCCGAACTTCCCCTGAAGCAATCTTATTATAAAAGAAATATGAAAAAGATGTTACAGATAGTTTATGCTTCGAAAAACGTGAACCGATTTTTTGCGATCAGAAGTCTCACACAGGCGATAAATAGGTTTAGAGGCTTACATGTCAGGCTTGACAAAACGGGCTGAGGACCCGGGATTGTGGGGAAGAAAAGAGCCGTTCAGCTGAGAGGCGTTAATGGTCACACACCTATGAGTCCCGTAAAAGCTAAGAAGTGCTTTAGATTCCTTCCAAAGGGGCCTCTCCCACGCTAACCGAGGCGGCCATGGGGGAAGGGTAGGGTGTACGTTTGTGTGTACGTCGAGAACCACACCTTCCTGACTGTGTCATACATGAAATAATCTTACGACTCCACAGTTCAACCTGCTTTTTTTGCCCCCCTCCGCCGCACCCTGTTCAGGACGCACTCTTAACACAAGCCCAATACACCCTCGCAGATTTATTGCGCGATTCAGTTGTGATCTAGTAGGTGTTTATAGATATATAATTGTCTACCTACAAAGGTTTCCCTGCCAAAAGAAGGGTGGGGGCGATTGGTGGGGGTGGGGGTAATACTCCTTTCAGAGAGTTCTCTGACTAAAACCTAACGTCAGTTTGATCACCAGGCCCAGGTGTTTCATAAGAGTCGAGAACAAAATTGCAAGATAATATACAGCTACTTTTATTGGCCCTCTTAGTTTGTTGGGCCTCTATGTATTACGCTATATCAAAGATTCAATAATTTCATTCCATGAAGTTAACAAAATAATATTTCTTAGTTACTACAGCTGTTTTACTGTGGTGAATTTTGCGAAAACAATTAGATCTAAAAGTCTGCCACTGACTTCATCCTTTTGTCAATTAAGAGACCCAACACACTTTTCGCCAAAAAAGAACCAAAAAAAAATTTAATCTATTTTAAGATTAGCCCTCCAGGGGACAGCAGCGGGTTTTTTGTTGTTGTTTGTTTGTTTGTTTGTTTGTTGTTGTTGTTGGGGGGTTTTTTAAAGTTTTTTTTTTTTG